TCGTCAGGTGGTGTAAAGAGACGGATCGTATTAGCATTCTTCCATTTGCTGCTGCTCCCGCCTCATTTCCCGTAAAGAGCCACTGATCCCTCTCTCTTTGGCGATAAAGAGTCCTCACGCATGGGATGCATCCTGCCTCGTGTGGCATGAGGAACAGCAGAGAGTCCCCAACGTTGCCAATGCGGGATTGACCGTCCAGTGCGGTGAGTACAACACGCTGGATCTGTCGGAGGATCGTCGTGCACACTTCAGTCCGCCCGTGGCGGATACAATCCTCGGGCAGTCACGCCTGTGCAGAACAGAACACCCTTTTGGAGAACGCCGAGCAGCTCCACCGACGTGTTGGAAAACCTCACAAAAAGAGGGCCGGTCAACCTGCGGCACATTACCGTGCAACTTTAATATCCTGACATCGAGAAGAGCGTTTCTACCTGAGAGTGTTCGCCCGCATCGTCATCATCATCAATGCTCAAATCATCTCAACAGGCAACAATGGCATCGCTCTCGTATTGCACATGCCCGTTGGCCTCCTCCACCCGCCGCCTCACGTCCGTGTGAAAATAAGGTCTCGTCATGCACGGCGATGCACCCTCTCGTTTCAGATAAATACCAATATTTCATAGTCACCAAGGCGGCAGTTCGGTTCTCCCTCCACAGGCACACCTCATAGAGGAGGTCCTTCTGTTCCCTTTGCCGAATCAACGCACCGCACCCAGTGGATAAGCCCTGGTAGTTTCACAAAAAAAACAAATGTTCGATTCCCACAGTAGCGAATGCTCTATGCGATATGGAACGCACAGGTTATTTTGCTAGTGCACCGCACCGTCGGCCGCCTCGCAATGGCGCAAAGGTGTCATTGCCCCTGCCTGGGTGAGGCCTAAGCCCCACATTACACGCACACAGAGAAGCACACGGCGCATTTGAAAATATATTAATAATTTTTCACGGCACATCTATGGGAAGGAGCACCACCCCCGTATGCATGTTGGCAAAGCAACGGCCCCACAACGGTGGTGCTAAAAAAACGCACCCAGAAACAGAGGAAAAAGAAGAAGAGTGTGGAACCCCCACAAGAAATGATGGATAGCCCACTTCAAACCGGCAGCAAAGAAAAGGAAAAAAACAGCAGCAGCAGCACTGGTGGTGACCATCATTTCCTTTTTTCTTCCCTTTACTCGCTAATAACCCAAACACGTGGGGTTCAAAAGTCCTCTTCACACAAAATTGTGCGGCAGCTAGCCTCTCTCCAACCAGCCGCCTCAATACATCCAAAAGAGCACACAAGAAAACCACAGATAGCCATGGGAAAAAAAAAGAAAAACAAAAGATCCCACGGCATTAGTACGGAGACGGAACGACACGCTTTTCGCACAAGTAGTCGTAAAGTCGGCCAGAGCAAAAGAGGTCCAGGCCCGAGCAAACTCGGACGCCATAGGCGGTCATTGTGCTTCTTTCAGACTTTTCCGCCGGCTCCTGTTCCACACGAAGGAAAAGGGCTGACGGAATGTGATGCTCGCCGCAACGAGTCGCTGCATCGGGGGCCAACAAAACAAATCCTCGCATATTGCGGATGTCAGGTGGGCCACCCCACCGCATTTCCACGTCATTATCGCTTGGCTGCGCACGTGCGTCTCTTCACGTACCCCGTCGTTCCTCAAGAAGCCTTTCCGCAGGAGTCCTCAAATGCAGTGGACGCTTGAGAGCAACAAGCCAGGCCTCGCAGTCGTTGTCAGTCTCACAAACCACCTCCAATGATTTCCCACCGCGAAGTAAAAGTGCGAATGCGCGGTGGTTGTTTGTTCCAAGGCTGGATGGAGTGATTTTTCGCGTGGGATCATGGCGGTGCGTCCCATTGTCAAAAACTGCCTCCTGGCGTGTCTTTGCCAGCTGTGCCTCGCCGCTGTAGTTCGCAAATGAGGTTGTGGACAGGCCGATAACTTTTTCGATGTCACGTATCCACATGGTGACTGGAGGCTGTTTGCGATTCAACGGGAATCCCTGACGGTCCAGATCACAGGAATGAATACGTTTGCGGTCCTCCGAGAGAAAATATAGGCGTCTGCGACCATTGCCCTTGCTCGGTATCTTTGTCACGCAGACCCCGTTGCGTAATTAATTCAGCACCTGATCCACAACAGAACTGAGGCGGCGTTCCGTTGCATCGGTGTCATGCAGTTTTCCATTTTTCTTTGCCACGTAGTCATCAAGCATACGCTGTCGATACACCTCGAGTCCTCGTCCCAGCCTCTCCTTGCGGGACTTTTCCTCTTCGGCACTGGCCAATTATGTCTGTACTTATTGCGTGAAGACCTCGTCAAACTGGTGTCGAATGATGTCCGTCTCCTCCGGATTCACAGGAATGTCTTCAAGGGAAATGAGCTTCGGCAAATACTCCTCGATCATTTTGACGTCGGCAGCAAGAGCCCTCTCGGCGGCGTCCTCCTTGGCTGTCGCCTGCTCGTACTTCTTCTTCCGCTCCTCGGCCAAGGGACGCACCTGCTCCGGGAATTCTGCATTCATTTCCTTAATCTGATGGATCCACTGCCTCCGTTGGCGACACCGCTCCTTCCGGACGGACCTTCGCACCGCCTCAATAGAATGCCGCTCCCGCATGACGGCCTCTCGCCCCCTCGCCCCGTCAAGTTGAACCATCTCGAGCTGCTGCTCCTTCGTCTCAGTGGCGCTCTGCCGCAGGCTGAGTCCTTGCTCCGGCTGCTGCATCGCCTGCCGCAACCTCTCCGAGGCACTCTCCTCGTCCTCTTTCCTCGTTCGGATCTTCTCCAGCGTATGCTCGCACTCCCAAATGCGGCTTTCGCGGTCGGCCTGCAGAGCACTGCTCTCCCGCTTTTTCGCCTCCAGAGTCCTCCCAATTTCGTCCAACGTGGCCCCACTTCTCCGCTCAAGCTCTTCGGCCATCTTCTCCGCCTCATGCTTGGCGCGCTCGCGAACCACACTCAGCTGCCGTTCCCGCGCCTCCTCACGGTTGCTCTCAATGGCGTTGACGCGCTTCATCCCCTCCTCCTTTATGCCTGAAATGGCCTGTTGGATTCATAGCTAAAAAGCCTGTAGTCGTACACGGTCCGGGCAATCATGAGTTCATCCCGCAACTCCATGATGCCCTGATCAGGACGCCACTTGTCAACGGCAAGATCCCTTGTGGCGGATCCGATTCCGGTCAAGCCAAGAATATTGCCAACACGACGAGTCATGGAGAAACAATGGAACGATTCCTCCGCACACACGGCATCCGAAAAGGCGTGAGCCAATAAAACCGTCTCGGTAGAACCAGTGAGGCTATTGTTGTGGTTGCCTTTTTCCGTGTTGTACGCTCGGCGCAACAACTGACTGAGTTCTGACATGCCGAAGGGAATGCACAGACGACGGCGGCGAATGCCGGAGACAATTCCTGCTCCCGACACCAGTGTTCGTTGGGCCCCTTCGTAGTGTAGCTGCGCGGCGGCATCAATGCCACACAAGGCGGGCCGTTCGGCATCTCCCAAGGCGACAAATGTCAGGGAGTTTGCATCCATGTAATCTGCAAACTCCGCCTCACCATCATCGCGGTAAAGCTGAAGGACGACGGTGTTGCGCAAATAGGAAGGCATTGCCTCCAGCTCAGGCGTTGGCTGCTTTTCACACAGCACGGTGGCAAAGTATTTCTCATAGTTTTTGACAATAGTGTCCATCGCCGCTCGAACGTCGCCGGCCAATGAGACACAAATTCGCGCCGCCATTCGCACACGAGGTCCCTCCTTCACGGAGCCCACAATAACACCGAGCTCGTTGTCGGCGTCAAGAAGGTCTGCGCGGTGCTCTGTTGACCCAATGACGTAGCATGAGAAGGCAAAAATGCCCTTTTTGGCGCCCAGCCGAATAAATTCGGTGATGACTCAAGCAGCATATCCTTCTCCAGCTGCAGAGCCGTACATGAGTTGTCGCTTTGGTGACGAACGCACGCCGTAGCTGAGGGCCACCATGTTCTTGCGGTCCTGAGCAAAGTTGGGGGCGGCAGTGGCACACAATTTTCGGAAGAGTGTACTTGCGTCCGGCACGTCCAACGCCTTATCGACGTCAAACAAGGCTCCAGCAACCGGAAATCCGGCATCCCTCAGGGGCTGGGGGCAATTCAACTGCGCCGTGTTGCCGTCCACCCGCATTGTCGCGGGGAGCTGCGAGGACGGCGTCGTGGTTTGGTGAGAGCAGGAACGGCCTTCGCCTCCATTGAAAGAATATCACATTGAATGCTGCGCTGTGTGTTTGTTGCGTGCACAGACAGGAAGTTCAAAGACAGGCAGAAAGAAAAGAAGAGTGAGACCGAGAGGGAAACAACACTGAATAATCTTCTGGGCCGCTGAGCGGATCCTGAAATTATCCAAAAAGGACAGGAGAAAAAAGTCGGTAGATGGAGAGGCAATGAGTTCGCCGCAATGTTTCCCCCAAAATATATGCACATTCCGTCAATCACCGCCCTTGACTCCTGCAGATGGTTAGAATTAGAAACACTTATCCCCTGCGAAGCGGCAGGCCTTTGGGGCTCCTCCAGCCACAAAAAAACGCCGCAAGTCGGGGATCACAAAGTGGGTGGGTGGAAGATAAAAAATAAAAAATAAAAAAATAATAATAATTCCGTCTGGCAGCTGTCGGCTCCCTGACTCCCTCAATCGCGGTCTCCCAAAAGACAGTGCGATAGAAGAGGAAAAGTTGTGGAGAGATATCTTCGTTTGCGCGAGATATGAATTTATTTGGGCAGCCAGCCGTCCTCTCAGGCATTCTTTTCACAAAATCCCATAAAAATAAAGAGAAATTATGCGGCCCCTGTAGTGCGCAACAGCCTCCAGTGACGATGCGCCTCTGGTGGAAAAAATAAAATAAAATGAAAAAGGGTGTGGTGAGTGTGGCAATGCCGATCACAACGGTTCTCTGAAAGGAAAGGCACTCACTGTCTAGACCCCGTAGGCACACACATATAAAAATCGTTAAAATACTCCCAATATATTTCATCAAAACGATGTGCACTCTGTTCCCCAATTATTTCCCCAACTTTCTTCCCTATCCCTCTTCCCCCAAGATTGTTGTGTTTTCATTTCTCGGATTTTATTTACAAAATCACGTGTTAACACAAACTGGTATTGGTGTACCTTTCCGTCCCAGAACGCCACAATCTCTTTTTCAGCGTCGGTTTCATTATTGCGATTGACGCGATCACATTCATGCCATTTTGATATCTTTTTGCTGTCTGCGTGTTGTATATAAATCATCTCCCACGACAGGTCTCGGGATAATTCGTCCCATCCTTCAAAATATGCCGATAGGCGCTCAGTGAACTGCCTCACGGTGCTGGGTATCGTGTGGTGCGCACTCGCCGTAGTCATCTGCAGCCCAACCAGCGTCCTCCGCGGTGACTCCATGAAGAAAAAGCCGTCCATCAGCGGAAAGTTTTCAACCTTCGGTAGGTACAGCACCCCGTACTCCATCGGAATCCTCGTGACACCGCCTTCCAGTTCCCTTATTCCAACGGTGCGAGTGGGGTGCCCTTGATGGTTTACCTTCAGCACTGAATCCCGTGCTTCACTACGTTCTGGTGGCCTCAGCTCCTTGAGTTCCTCTACTAATGCACAGACAAGCTCCCCATACATGAAGGCGCGCAAACCTAATTGTTCCAGAGCTCGGGAAACAAGAGCACCATGCGATCCCAATATTATCAACAAAAGGTTCTTCGCACCCATTTTCTTTTCCAAACGGTCTGCAATTCGAAACCCGATATCAGCACATATCGGTGCGTTGAGAAATACCTCAACGCCTCTT